TTCCTTCCTTCCTTCCTTCCTTCCTTCCTTCCTTCCTTCCTTCCTTCTTTTCTTCCCAACCACAACACTGAACTCTAGGTGTGCTGCGGGAAGATGCAAAGCTATGGGTGACAGGGAAACATCCAATTACATCATTTAAATGCCTTGGGTATCAGAGTCAGGATTACTTGGATTTCATAACCCTGGAGTCTTTGCTCCAAGGCAAAAAACCATTTGCCTGGACTTCCTGTCTTAGGAGGGGACTAATCAACTGGAATCTAGAGTTCCCTCATCAGGATAGCTTGCCAAACAAGGCGGTGAGGAGAATGTGTGTGTTGGTGGGGGGCGGGGGTGCTTGATTAACTAAAAGAGATACTGAGTAAGTACAGCCAAATGCTGATGGGTTTTCAACCACCACCCCTTCCTACTGGCGGGACAGTGAACTAAGTGCTTAGAGAGGCGAAGCAGAAATAGACAATCCCCTCTGACCCATCTACATTGCAGGCTTTGGAGGACATAGAGTTATAGGCAGCCTGTGTCCTGGAAGGGAAGGGAGCTGCCTGCTGTGGGTGGAGCTGTATGCAGGTTTATTTGAGATGAAAATGGGTATACAGCTTAGACCCCAGTGAACTGAGATCGTCTTCGGACATTCCAGTTGAGTTCATTTTGGATGCTTCCAAATACTCGGCTACTGTGTTAAGAGAAGCAGAGAAGGAACATGGGAGCCAAGGAAGGTGGAACACTTGTTTGTTTGTTTTCCATGAAGTGTTGGGACTGTCTTTGGGGGTGTATACAGCTGCCATGGCAACTGTAAGGTGTGGGTGAGGTAATTCTTGGGTTGTGGTCATGGGGAGGGCTGGGAGCCCTACTGGCCTGTGATGCTTCAGTCTCTATCCGTGTTGACAGAACTTCTGTAGCTTTGAAATACCCCCCCCCCAACTCCTGCTGCCCCAACTCAGTTCTCCTCCCTTTGATTGCCGTGGGGTGGCTTCGTATTTCTTCGGCTAGGGCTCTTGAATTGATTAATGACACTCTGACTGAAGCCATAGTCTTCTGAATGAAATAAGTCTGAAGCTTCTCCACCCCTGGCATCCCTCCCCAACCCATACTTCTCCTCCCAGCTCCTCTCCACACCCCAAAATTATTTCTCATGTTTTACATTAATCCCGATTAAAATTCCAGTTTTAAGGAAACTTAAAATTGGAAGAGGACCACTAGCTCTTGAAGGCAGATCCATACACATTCAGCTTTCGAATCCTTGGAGATGACCATGTCTCCCGGGTACCTATGGGGACTGGGGGTCATGGTATAGGTGGCATGTTAGGCCTGTGGTAAATCATGGTAAAGTTTGAGAACTGGGGACTGATAGAGAAGAGAGAGGACTGTTTGAGATCCGATTTGGCATCTGAATGTGGGGGTGTGGCTGGACACATGAGGCAGGATATGATGACTTTTAATGCGTTGATGCCTCGCTCGATGGCCCAGCCTCACTTTGGATGCAGAGGCACTGACATCACAGAGCACTTAGCATCAAGGCATCACACTGATTGTCTCACTACTGTCCACAGTCACTCTGCAAAGAACGGTTCAGGGATGAAAGTGTGTGTAAGGCCCTGGGAAATTACTGGGCACTGGAAACTCCTGTTTCCTCCTCTCTGAGATTGAATGTTCATCCTGGTATGCACAATCTTAGCACCCTGAGTTGGTGAGATACAATTTCTTCGACCTGGAAGCTGGTGACTCAGCACGGCCCATCCCAACCCAGAACATACAGACTGCTGTGACCCAGGATAGCCCATCCTGATGCAGAACATACAGACTGCCTTACCGCCTCTTAATAAAACCAAGAACAAAACAAGAAATAACTGTGATCCGACTAAGCAGAAGCTCTGTGCTGTTAGTATTGGAGTTAGAGAGGACAGCATCTGCCCACTCAGCATTTACTCGGTAGACTTTGCCACGGGCAGGTGGCATGAAGCACCGTTAGGATTAAACAACAAACTCTTGTGCTGCCTGCAGTTTTAAAAACAATCTCAGGGCATCTTTGCCCTTTAAAAATTGTTGGGGTTTACCGTGACACCGCATCTCCTAGTAGTGTCAGAACAGGCACCCGTAAAGTCTCACCGTCATGACTGCCTAAACATGAGCAGAGCAAGGACGGCAGCAATGGGCATGCCAAAGTGAACAGGGGAAAGACCACGAGGCCTCAGCCCTGCACAAAGAACTGTAGGCACCTGGGGATGCTGGGGGCATGAGACACAGTCTTTACCAGGGAAAAGCACACCAGCTGGTTACCCAGCTCCAAATGGTCAGCCCTGAGAAGGCGCAGATGAGTAACACTGTACAGATCAAGCAGGTTGTATTTAAAAATATGTATGTGTATCCATGTACGTATATGCATGTAACAACAATTAAGAAAGAGGCTGTAAATTTGAAAGAGCAAGAAAGGGAATAAGGAAAGGTTTGTGGAGAAGAAAGGGGAAATGATATAATTATACTATAATCTCAAAAATAAAAAAAAATAAACATAAAATTATCGGGGGAAGTCAAGAGATTTTGTTTAGGTAGTTTTTATTGACCAGCCTTTATTGTATAGAGTTGAAACTGAGGAAAATATATTTTGTCAGCCAAGGGGATGGCATCATGATATACCACAAAGTAAGAGTAAAGGACAAATAACGCCAGTGTCATTACAAGTTGCTCTCAACCCAACCACCACAAACATTTCCACAGCATGGGGGCTATGGAAGAGTCAGGGCTCTCCCAAGCTTCCCCAAACTTGGGGAACTTGAGAACTGCTGTACTGATATCTCAGACCTCAGGGCCAATCACCAAAACAGAGCACTCCTGTGAAGAGACAGAAAGGAAAGACAGACACACTGACATCTTCTTTATCACAGTCAAAGTCATCCATCAGAACACATCTATGCTGACGTGGAACGCAGAGGGTCCCAAATGATGCTTGTGGTCATGCAGTGTGGAAAGTTTACTGGGCTAGGTTCATCAGAATGTGAGGAGAGGAGGAATGGGAAGGTTCAGACAGTGTATCTAATATGAAAACGTCACTGGTATTTGGGAAATGGGCAATATTTCCCTTACGCTAAGAATTAAAGCCTGAGGAAGAACGGAAGGATACAGAGGAGAGTGAAGCGAGCCATAGGCAGGAGGCACATGAGGGTTTAATATTTATCAAGAGATGGGTTGAGAGGACTCTCCTTCACTCACTATTCTCATCTTCTTTACTTTGTAGGCATTAACTCTCTGATAGCAAACAATATCTATGAGGCTGCCTACCCGCTTCATGATGTAAGTACTTTCTTTATTTCTCCTCCCCATACCTTGCTTTTCCTTTCTTCCTCCATTCCCTCTTTCCCTCCTTTCTTTCCTCCCTCTCCTCTTTCTCTTTTTGATGCCGGGTCTCCCTCTGTGACCCAGGCTTGCCTCAAACTCCTCCTCTCAGCCTCTGCGAGCTGGGATTACAGGCATGTGCCACGGTTGCCTGGAAGTACCAGTTTATCAGTATGTTCTCGCTAATCTTTCAAAAGTAGAAGCCATGGGCCTTGGGGTGGCTGAACACCTGGCAGGGATGGACCCTGAGACTGAATCACCTTTGCCAACCCTGAAATTTGTCATCACTGAAGATAATGCTTGGTTCAGTTCTTGCCAAAGGTCTCAAACTGTCTTTCCAGTCATTTTTTTCACATATGGCAAGAGGAATGCATTGGTTTTCATCTGAGTTTTCCTTGACACCTTGTCTTTATTTATTTATTTAATTTTTCACAGAAGTGTGAAAATACAGATGAAGTATATGGTTGATTAAAGTACACATGGCTGGGCTGTTAATAGAAGCAGGTGGATAGCCATGGAAGAAACCTCAGGGGTTTCGGTAATATGCAACCAGGAAGCGCTCCTTGGCTGGGAGTAATGTTCTTCCCAATATGCAGTGCAATCGTTTTATTCAAGACAAGTTGTGAAGAACTTAAGCAGCCCTTAAACTAAATACCTCTTGGCTTCACCATCGTCTAACATCCGTCACTCAACACAGCCCCATGAGTCTGACCAATAGGAATTTCTCAGATGGGAGCCTTCTAAGTTCTGACATCTTTGCCGTAGAGCACGGAAAGCTAAGGATGTCATGGCATAGGGTGAATTTTACTTTGTGTGTTAAGCCAGTTACAGGCACAGAGCCTGCTGTTGCAGGGGCAGAGAGTAGTCACCTGGGCTCATCTGTAAAGCACAGAAGGGGTGTATTTTTGTGTGAAAAGCTATCCTAATTACACACCATAAGGTGATGCCTAAGAAGTCAAATACTGGAACCTGACCAGGCCATGTTTCTGACCTTCCTTAAAAAGAAATGAAAGAAAGAAAGAAAGGAAGGAAGGAAGGAAGGAAGGAAGGAAGGAAGGAAGGAAGAAAGAAAGAAAGAAAGGGATGACATTAGAAAATTTAAAAAAAACAAAGAAAATCTTTTTTTTCTTTTCATTTGGCATCTGTTTTTGATGATTCTGTTGGCTTTATCTGTTATCCCCCCCTTTTTTTTCTACAGGGAGAATATGACAGTCCAGGAGATGACATGAATGACAGAAAGGTAAGCCTCTTTTGTGCTGGACTGAGGACCTTGGTTGTGAGCTGGGTGTGGAACTGGCCGCAAGTGTCATAAGTGTTTTATTTACACATCTGACTTTTAACAATTTCCCAGTCCCAAAATCTTCATCCCACCCCTCAAAGAAGAGAGCACCGGCTGAGGGGCACTGACTGCCCACTTCCTTAGTCTATGGGTGTGAACACCGAGACGGAGGCTGAACACATTACCCAAGCTTACACTGCCCCACAGAAAGGCACTTAGAATCCCTTTGCCTATGAAGTGTCCCTGATGAAAACGCATGATTATCTGTGGGTGTCCGCTATGGATTCTTTTGGGTCGTCTTTATGACATCTTTACGTCCTACAGGCAGGCATGCCGAGTAAAGCCACTCCCAAATTACAGAGGAGAATGATGAGGGAGAAGGAAGCTTCAGCAGGGTGCATAGAAAGGTAGGAGCTAGAGCTTACAGATAGGGCATGCTTCCTTTAGCGGGACTACTCCAGTGCTGGCCACAGCTCCCAACCATATAATACTTTGCCAAGCCCTCCTTGAAGATCTGCCTGTTTTTCTGGCTGGTACTCTGGGACCATGGGGTCATCCAAGTACATGAAATAATGGGCGGCTCTGGCCTCTTTGGAAAGGGTCTGTCTGTGAGTTACTCCTGCCATCCTCTTGCCCAGCCTAGTGTACAAAGCTGGGTGGGAGGGAAAGAGAGGGATAGGGATAGAAGCTCAAGAGATTCCCTCCCCCCAATTCTGTTGTCTGGAAAACCACTCATGCCCCAAGTTGCCTTTTGAGCAGCCTTCTTTTTATCCTGCCTATTAGTCCCTGTTATGAAGTGTTAAGTATTAAAAACATAAAAGGTCTTTTCCAGAAATACTGCTGTGATTGCTTACACATGTCCCCACTCTGCCTGCCTGGGGAATCTGCTGTAGTAGTGCAGTGTCTCAACCTCATCTGTTTCCTATCTGATGCTAATAGCCTCGGTGTTTAATTTCCTGAAAAGTCCCGCATCACATTTAAAGGAAAAGGAGGAAGCATTTCTCCCCCATCCTCACCTCTCTCACTCAACCATTTTCTGTCCTCCTACATTCCGATTTCATGTCTCTCCCCTTTAAATGGCCATCACTAACCATTGCCTACCCAAGAAATCGCCTGCTGGGTGGTGAGGACCTTGGCCTATCTAGGAGTATCACAGAGCCCAGGGATACACAGTTAGCTGAGGGAATCCAGACTGACCTCTGCTATCAGACTAGCAGAAAGAAGCCAATTGCAGCCTGCCCGAAGTATCTGTGCGTTTGTTTCTGAAATAATATTGAGTTGCTAGCACAATATTATTATTATGAATATATTGGTCTGTGCTCAGGCTAATATAAAGACGATAGCACATTCTTTTGCTGGCATAAGATCGAGTCAGCGAGAGACAAGACCTGCCAGGGCAGAGTTGTATCTTGCTAGATAATCCCCAGAGCTGATGGCATGGTGCTGTCCACAGGTGAACAAGTGTCTCTAAAGACAAGAGGTCCCCTTTGTGTGGCTTTCACTTAGGTTTGCTGGCCAGTTCTTACCTTTCTCTGCCTGGCCCATGGGTAGAGAAGAGAATTTTGCCATGCTGTGGGATAGGAGAAGCCCTGATGGAGAATAAAAGCTTTTTTTTCCCCCTTCTGTCCACTCAGTATAGGAAACAGATAGTCACCTAGGACAGAAGATGCTTAAATATCTATAGATGATCGCGGGGTTATGACCAAGATTGTGGTACCCAGACCACTGCCAGAGGCCTTTAGTCATCAGTATGGGTTCCATCAAGGGGGCTTCTTACTCCATGGATGTGACTGATAGGCAGGGGTACCTACTGTATCCTAGAGGAAGGCCTAAACCTTACCCTCAACCCTCTTTTGCTTTGGAAATTTTAATGTTAGCTCGGATATATAAAATGGACAAATGCATCAACATTCATTTGTGATAACTCATGTATTTATTTTTAATCTGTTCTTTGGCATACCTGTAGTTTTATGTTACCACGATTCAGCGCTTATGCTTTGACTGCCCCACTAACATATTTGAAGACGTTTCTCGTGAGATTACTTTTGTCATCTTCAGAAGCAACGCGAGAGAACAATTATGCTTTCGAGTACCTTAATATTTGGTGTTAGAAATTTAGAAAACTTTTCGTCTATTTAGAATAAGCCAACTGTCAGGACCTGAGATATTCCCTAGGCAAGGGTGGCTGGAGACTGAGGAAAATGGAACAATGCTCACAGGGGAAAAATGACTTGTTTATTAAAGACAAAAGCACATTTGTATGCTAGTGAGATAAATGACTTGTTTATTTTTGCACAAAAAGTAAAGTGTTGAATGAATATTGATACAGAGGACATAGACCATCCTTGACATTTTTTTTAGGGTTGATTGAGATTATTGATTTTTATTCTTGCCAGTGCTGAGAATGCCATGATACATAGACGCATAGCACAAAATGGCAGACGTCTGTTTAGGACTGTCTCCAAAATTGTTGGAAATTCTGTTCTACTCCCAAGCCAAATTTCCAATTTAATGATTTTTTTTAAACGAAATTCAGCAACTCCAACAGCAATTAAAAAAAAAAAAAAAAAAAACCAAAAAAACAAACATTCCAGCAAAACACATCCCAAAGATACACTAATTTTCTATTTAGGCACTGAGGAATGATGGTAGGAAAATACTCAGTCTTTGTTTTCCATAATGAAATTGTTATAGTTTCTATGGGGGGGGGGGCAGGGAACTTTGCATGCAGCAAAACACTGCAATTTGTAACAAACAGTATCTCACATCTGAGAGGAGGGGTTTCAGGCAGTGTTCATTGGCGGTGTAAGGTATAATGGCATGCACAGTGCACAGCCCAAGTGTTGTTCAGCATCAAGGCTACAGTGAAGTGGTACCACAAGGCATGAGGACGTGCCTCAGGAGACACCGCAGATTTGTTACACATTTGATTCTGTTTTACCTTTCCTGTGTTTTTCACAACCCTGCATTCAGGAAAGATGCTCTACAAGGGGTCACAACCCAGTGGTTAAGAAGTTGTGTCCTTTCAGAGGCCCTCTGTGGTAGGCTCTTGTCCTGTTACTTTTTTTTCTCCTACTTCCAATGACCATCCCATTTGTCATTCTAAGTGAGGATTGATCATCTTACCCCAGGTCCTCTTTCTTGTTTATCTTCTTTAGGTGTACAGATTTTAGTATGCTTATCTTATCCTATAGGTCTGGTACCCACTTATAAGTGAGTATATACTATGTTTGTCTTTCTGCTACTGGGATACCTCATACCTCACTCAGGATGATCTTTTCTAGATCCTACCATTTACCTCCAAATTTCATGATTTCCTTGTTTTTAATCACTGAGTAGTATTCCATTGTGTAAAAGTACCACAATTTCTGTATTCATTCCTCTGTTGATGGACATCTGGGTTGTTTCCAGGTTCTGGCTATTACAAATAAAGCTTCTACAAACATGGTTGAGAAAATGTCCTTGTGTACTTGAACATCTTTTGGATATATGCCTAGGAGTGGTATAGCTGGATCTTGAGGAAGCACTATTTCCAGTTGTCTGAGAAAGCAGATCCTGAGAGTCATAACCAAACCTTCAGCAGAGTACAGGGAATCATATGAAAGAAGGGGGAGTTAGTATGACCTGGAGAGGACAGGAGCTCCACAAGGACCAAATATATTTGGGCACAGGGGTCTTTTGTGAGACTGTATCTCCAGCCAAGGACCATGTATGCATATAACCTAGAACCCCTGCTCAGATGTAGCCCATGGTAGCTCAGTAACCAAGTGGGTACCCTAGTAAGGGGAACAGGGACTATTTCTGAGATGAACTCAATGGCTGGCTCTTTGACCTCCTCCTACCCCTGAGGGAGGAGCAGCATTGCTAGGTCATAGAGGAGGATATTGCAGCCAGTCCTGAAGAAACCTGATAAATAAGCTAGGATCAGATGGAAGGGGAGGAGGACCTCCCCTATCAGTGGACTGGAAAGGGGCAGGGAGGAGATGAAGGAGGGAGGATGGGATTGGGAGGGAATGAGGGAGCAGGCTACAGCTGGGTTACAAAGTTAATAAACTGTAACTAATATTAAAAAAATAAAAATTTAATTAAAAAAGAAAAATAAAAGAAAATTAAGCTAGAAGAAGAAGAAGAAGAAGAAGAAGAAGAAGAAGAAGAAGAAGAAGTTGTGTCCTAGGATCAGAAGAAAGGGGAGGAAGACCTCCCCAATCAGTGGACTGGGGGAAGGGTATGGGTGGAGAAGGGAGAGGGAGGGTGGGGTTGGGAGGGAAGAAGGGAGGGAGCCACAGGGGGGAGGGAGCCACAGGGGGGGATACAAAATGAATAAATTGTAATTAATAAAAATGAAAATAATAAAAACAACACAACAAACAAAAAATAACTAAGTTTTGTAAAAAAAAAAAAAAAAAAAAAAAAAAAAAAAAAAAAAGAAGAACAAGAAGTTGTGTTCTTGGGAAGAACCAATGAGGTTCTCCTAACACACCCATTGCTCTCTGAGATGGCTGTGGGGAGGATATTGGCCAGGTTAAGTAAAGGCTTTGCTGCCTTTTAGCTTTGAGGAAGATGTAGAACAGTCTTGGTGTTTGGGGGTCCGATGGCTTCAATGGGGGCCTTTGAGGATGGCTTAAAACTGTCCTAACGATGGCAACCCTGTCCTAAACGCTTCCCTTCACTTGCATGTTCCTTGTCAATGTGCTTGTTCTGATGATCTCCCCAAGGCCCAGCTCCTGTCAGGCCAGCTCCAGGGGACCCATGAGGCTCCGCAGAGCACTGATCTCCCTCTCCATCCTGCCTGGTGCAGCTCTGCAGGTGTGATGACTCAGCCCCAGGTAGGGGCTGGCAGCTCTCTCTCCCCTCCTGGAGGGTAATTAAGAGGAGATTTCTTGCCTCTAGAGTACAGGGTTTTCCTGTCTTCCTAGAAGCCAGGGCAGCAGGGAATCTGGGAGCACACAGGTCCCTCTGACTTCCAGCCACTTGCTTCTTTTCACATCTGTCAGAGCTACCTCCTTTCCCAGAGGACCCCAGAGAAGTGACTGCCACCATCTTCTGAGGGCTGCCTGGCTTCCCTGTGGCCCCTCACCTTTGTGGAGAAGAGGACCCTAGGTATAATACTGGAATGTGATTTTCTTTAGCGTTTTGGAAACTATTGGTTCTGGGTTCTCTGCTTTTTCAAGTAGCCCTCTTCCCTAGTGGTCAGAGTGTGAAGAGAGAGAGCCAGTTCTGCATTTTGAGAGCGTCTTTCTACCAGGGTGGCACTTATGCTTGGGACATCCACTTGAAGATTAACTACCAGGCTATACAACTTGCATGTTACTGTGGGAGAAGTTGAGGCCCAGATAGTTGACAGATGTTCTGCTAGGCCATTGAGGATCTGTGAGAAGAACCTAGTCTCTCCTGCTCTGGCTGAATCCTATCCCATGCCTCTGAGGTATCTGCAGCTGGAGACTTTCTGTCCAGCTCAGGTGGATCTAGCTGCTGGCTGGGAAAGCTGCAGCTTCAGGGTGGACCATGAGTCCCAACACATCGCCGTTCTGGAGCACCACAAAGGATTGTAGCACCTGAATCTTTGATGAAATAGTTCCACCAGAGGCCCACTGTCAGACATGAAACCCCTTGGGTGGGCGCGGGGAGCTGAATGTGCTGTTGATAGGCCTTGATCTGTCAGAAGGGGACTCCCAGGAGTTGTTGTTTTCTGTCACAAAGGGTCAGACACTGCACCTGCACCACCTCCAAGAACATGGCGGAAGGTCCTGTCTGTTAGTGAGGAGCTGCAGCCTCTCTCTGGTTTATGTGGAGAGAGAACGTGGTGCGACATTAAGGGAGGATCTAGATTTATTAAGATCTTCACTAGAAGCTTCTAGGTTCTGCGTGTTTAAAGAAGCTGATACAGGTTACCGTGGTTGTCTGACTGCCCTTCACTAACGGTGTGCTCACCTCGTGGGGCCGAGACAACAGGACGTGTCTCCCTTGGGGACCATGGAACCTGCAGCTTCCTCTGTGTATGAATGAGCATTCACAGGGGAGGGGATCTGTATCGATCTCCTCCTTTTCTGTCTCCCATGCAGGTGACTGAAGTATATGTGAGTAGCCAGGGTACATGCTACAGATTTGATGCTCTAATGATGGTTGGCTCAGTATCTGTCCTACCTTCTGTGCCAAGGTCAGGCAGCTCTTTTGGCTCCAGCTATGGGTATAGTCACCTCTGCGCAGAGGATACTACCTTGAGTTGGGAACTTTGGAAGTGTCCAATAGCAGGACCAGAGTCCCAGCCGAAGTGATGCTTCTGGTGTGGCCTGCCTGTGTGGTCTCAAGCCAAGTGGGGCCACACTGGCTTCTTGGAGCATTTTTAGTTTTTCCCTGTGGGACAAGTCACAAGAATACATTCTCAGGTTCAGGTTTGAGCTGGCCACTTAACTTAGATAACAATTTATAGGTCAGAGCCTAGGTGAGGGGCAGTGGTATCCCAATTACCCTGAAGGGAGCTTAGTCCATCGTACCTTCTGATGCAAGCTATCCTCCTTTGGGGACATTTAAGTGGTGTCTCTGTAACAACAAGGTATTCAGAGCACAGACTTCGCTCTTGGGAGCTCAGGGCAGTAGAAGCCCTGAGAGAGAGGGATGGGGAGGGAGGGAGGGAGAGAGAGAGAGAGAGAGAGAGAGAGAGAGAGAGAGAGATTAACAACAGCAGGAGTAATCCAGAGGCCACCACACTGGAATGAGCAGTGTCAGGGCGTAGGAGTTCAGTTGTCTTTCTCTGCTCTCATATATCATTGAAGGCCCGCTCCCCTGAGTCTGAGACGCCCCTTCACTCCCTGCAAACAGTAATTGCTAGTGTACCTTGTTTTATCGGCCTGCATGGTTTCTGGTTGTATTTTACAGTTTCTGGGAGATGTTATGACAATAAAAATCTATAGCCTTTAAGTAGAAATGCTAGTTCTGATTTCAGCTTTAGTATCGGGTCTTTAAAGGATTGTAAGAGAAAGGAATGGCTTGCTGTCGAGCCGGAGTTTCACAGGTCAAGTCTCGTTATAGTATGAGTCCTCCTTGGAAGAATTCCTTGGAGAGTCTGTGTGATGTGTAAAGAGTATAAAAATCACAACAAGTCAGTAATGGTTTTGTCAGGTAATTCTAGAGGTATTATCTGATTAAGCACCAGTATCTAACCAGCATGGCTGTCTATGTGAGATCTAATGTTAGTCCATTACCAAATTTCCAGATTTATTGATAGATGACTGATTGATAGGTAGCCAGGAATTTGAAACTGAACAGTCTGGAGGTGTGGCTTGCTCTTGCCAGTGTTGCTGCACACCACCCGGTGGCCTGAGGTGTTTGGTGGAGCATTTCCCTCCTAAGCTTTTCCTAGATGCTGGCTCAGATTTAGCACTTCCTTCTAGCCTGAATGTGCTGTTGATAGGCCTTATGAAGGCTGACTAGTAACCTCCGAGTTGTCAACTTCAGGGGCCACTTTGCCATTCTCATCTGCACCATTAATCGGCATCTCACTCAGCTTGCTGGTTTCTTCTGGAAACTTCCTTCTCTTAGCTACACACCGTGCTTTTCGCCTCACCACTGCCTCATCCGTTAGACTCTGTTGTTTCTTCACCAACCCCTGGTCCGGATGTAATGACTCTGGGGTGTATCTCTTTTCTGATAACTAACAAATTTGGGTCTCTAGTCTGGATTGTTGTTTGCACTCAGATTTTTATATCTATGAGTGCTTATTCAACATCCTTGTGGATACCCAAAAAGCATTTCAAATGAACACATCCTAAAGTAAACTCTTGGTTCTGCCTCTCTAACCCCATTCTTTCTACAGTCCTCCCATTTCGGTAGATGCGACACAGTAATTCAAGTGCCAAGACCAAGTTCTCATCTAATCCTGTCACAAATCAATAGGAAAAATCAAATGTTTATTATCACATCTGTGGGTAGAGCCATCATCTCTCCCCTGGACCATTCCAACAATAGCCTGCCTATGTTACCCTCACTGTCTTTTCTCCACATAACAAGCACAATGAACCTCATGCAAGCTTAGGTAGTTTGTTTCTCCCCTCAGCGGCAAGTCTCTCAGGGGCTTCCTTCAAAATCCAGAGCTCTCACCACAGCTGTTAGCACCACATCTGCTGCCTTCTGCATTAGTCAACCTCCTATTATTCTTTCTGTGTTTGCTCTGTCCTGGTCACACATACACCTCTGCTAGCGTAGGTTATTCCATAGATGCTCACCTCAAGGTCTCTGCCCAGGGTCAGTGAGTGTCCTCCTCATTTCTTTCTGCTCTAAGCTCAGACATTACCTCATCAGCACTCTCTGTTGATCCCACCTAAAACAACATCCTACCCCACCACACCTTATATCATCCTTATCTTGATTACTTTTAGTGGCATTTATAAATCTTATATATTTATAGTTGTCTGCCCACATCAGGTACAAGCACCATGGCAACAGTGATATTAATGCATTTTGCTAGATCACCCAGGGTCTGGACAGTGCCTGGGACGTAGGAGATACTCAGTGAATACTTGTTAAATGGGTGAATGATGAATGTCAGGGCTCATGCTGCACCAGGCAAAGCAAAGACGATGCTCAGCAGGCACCTGAGTGTTTCTAGATGTGCATTGGCGATCTCTATAATTTAGGGAAGAAGAAGGCAGTTCCTGTAGCCTTCTGCCTTTGGATATATCTACACAGATATCACAAGACTTCTAAGAGTTGGGCTTTTGGGATAACATTTTGACTTTACGTTGGACAAAACAAGAACAGTTGCCTGTTTCACAGCTAATCTGTCATCCCATTTTTCTTGCTTAGCTGCTGTATCAGGAATGGGCACGCTATGGAGTGTTTTACAAATTCCAACCCATTGACCTAATCAGGTGAGTGTATGTGTTGGGGAACTTTTTTGGGGGGTGCTTGAGATGCAAATCCTAACCAATACATTGCCAATCCTCTTGGCCCCTGGCACTGTGCTGTTTAAGTAGAGGGTCCTGCTCTTCCTGGATTGTATGCCCTTGCTCTGTGGCTTATGGCTGGGGAAGTAGTAGAGGGATATGCTGGGGAATGGAAGGAGAAGAAGCCAACACAGGCTGATCTACTAAGACTTTCATCATTAGATGAGCATCATGGTCTTAATTTCACTGCTATTTGGGAACAAAAGAGAACTGTCTTCCTTGTTCTTTTTCAAGGGAAGGACATGGATGGAATAGAGCCTTGGGTGATGCCCAAGTGGCCACACTACTCTGTGGGAGGAAGGAAAGGCTTGGAAAATCACACAAAGGATGAATTGATGGGCTTGGTAAAGATTGAAGACTAGCCATAAATTTCCTAACTTATAGGAAGCTAGATGCGGTTCTCTCTCTCTCCCTCTTCATTGTCACCCTGAAAAATTGCCAAGCTTCTATAGAACATTGACGAAAGATTCTTTTAAGAATTGACTAGAATGCAGTAGGTTTAACTAGCTTAAAAAGGTTAAAGACTGCATTGTCCTTGACGAGAACTGATAGACTAAGATTAGAAAGGAGAGGAGAACCTCCCGTATCAGTGGACTTGGGGAGGGGCATGCATGCAGAAACGGGAGGGAGGGTGGGATTGGGAGGGAAGGAAGGAGGGGCTTTTGGGGGGATACAAAATGAATAAAGTGTAATTAATAAAAATAAAAACAAAAACAAAAAAAAGGTTAAAGACTCTAGATTCTAGATTGCTATAGTCTAGAAACTTGCTATATATTATCAGCCTTCTTCTTGGACAGAATAACAGGTAGCAGCATTGGGAAGTCAGGAAGTTCTGGACCAGATGTAGGCACAAATACTGCTAGACATTTTTTTTTTCTTCCTTGCCTTTCAAGATTCGGAGAGGATGGACCAGGGGATCTATGAACTAACTTGGTAGAAGGCAATCATTAGGAAGAGATGGAAGGCTGCTGCTTACAGACCAACATATTGGCCTTCCTACCACATGAGTCCTGTGGCAGTTTTAATGGTCTAATTAGCAAGGTTGCAAACACAGAGAGTGTTCCTGGTTCGCTGCCCTGGCTGGGGGAAGGGACAGCAGCCAAAGGATTGAGTCCATGGGAGGAATTCCAGCCTGAGGAAAAAGAAAGCAGCCTGGGAGCCACAGCCTGGGCAGGGTCACCTCCTCACACTGTGATGCGTGAACCCTCCCAAGGAACTGGGAGAAGCAGGTGTTCCTCCCAGCTGAAAACCTTTCTGTGAACTGCTTGGGCATGGGAGCAAGGGTGGGGTGACTGACTGAGGCACATCACCCCCAGCTCTGTCTCCTGGCTGCCTTCTCCTAGCATGGGCCACCTAGACTGTTCCCGAGGCCACACGGAATCTGCTTCCTCCATTCAGAGTGGGCTTTGATGTCTTTCTCTTGGCATCTCTAGTGGCCGCCCACCTCTGTCGCCTGTTTTGTCTAACTACCCATTTGTTTTTAAAGCTATGAGTAAAAAAAACAAAGTCTCCCTTCCAGAAAGCCCTGTCTTTCCTCCAGAGACCTCAGGTGATTGGCCTGCCAGTTAGGAGGGAAATGACTCCAATATGCACTGAGGTTTGGCTACCAAACCACCTCATCTGCAGGGAGAGAATTACCTTTGGGGCAGAGCCCTATTCTGGGTTGGCAGATTTGGAGAGCTCAGCTCTGTCTTGCCCGGGCACTGGGAACTGGAGCAGAGCTGGGAGCCTGTCCATAGAAAAGACAGCCTCGTTAGGAGAGGGAGGAAGGCTGAGCCTAGAAACGCTAAGAAGGTCAGAGAAGCCTTTATGTGTGGGCAGGCAGTTGTCTACCCAGAGGCCTGAGTACATCACATCTCGGGAAAATGCTGAAAGGAAAAGGGTTAGCCTCAGGGAAGGTGTTGGGGAGAGGAAAGGGGCATATGCTCTTCAGGGGCCACAGGCAGTTAACCAAGAGAGCTGAGAAAGAGAAAACTAAAGTTGAAACATGTGGGAAACAGCTCTTTGCCCCCAGTAAGTTCCACAATGAAACCTCATTGGGCTCTGTCTTCTCAAATGACTCTGATTATCAAAGGCTTCTGCTGCCTCTTTGCTACCACGAATACCTTGGACTTCTGTTATCACTGTTCCCTTCTCTCTTCATTCCCATTTGCTAATGGCTTCTTCCTCCT